CGAGTAGTAGTGTGGCCTCTGAGACGGTCGGCCAACCGGAAGTCACCTTCGACGATCGATGCTCAATGTTTCCCTATGCGGGGGCGGCGTAGCCGCGCGACATGGGTTGTCGTCAGCGAAGGCATGGTGAGGCAGGTCGGTGTCGGCCTCGGTCTCGGTCTCGGTCTCGGTCTCGGTCTCGGTCTCGGTCTCGGTCTCGGTCTCGGTCTCTGTCGGCTTTGTCCAGTGGGCAACAGTTGCGCCGACCGCTCAACATTGGCGGGCGCCTCTGTGCTCTGTCTGCCATTGAGCAGTTTCTAACTGAGGTACAGTGATTTTTTGCGCCTTGCGCTTCATGCGTCGAGAAGACAATGCTTGATTGATGCCCAACGCAGGGCTGGTCGTCAATGAGTAGAGTCGGAGGAGTCAGTTGCTGCCGCCTAACCTCTCGTCGAAATCATACACCACCGCACGACGGTCGACGGCCCACGGTGTAGGGTTTCGTCCCTCGTCACTCATTGCAAGGCTACTGCTTCTGGTATTATCAGCCCCGCGCCGCGACCATGGCCGCATGACACCACCACAGCCACGTCTCATAGTCGTGCCTGCGCCGCTCAGGCTCATCTCCGTCGTTCGTTCATTTCAAGTATCGCCGCCGCCACAGCTGCTGTTGGCCATTTCTCAACGCGCACGTGTTTAACGTCTCGTCTGCTGTCCTCCTCTCACTCGTGCGTGTATCCTCTGCCTTTTGCGATCCATTCGCGTCTGTCCGGTTTAATCTTCCTTCTTCGCCTGACGACGACGTTGTTTCCTTTTCAGTTTCGCATGAGCGCCACACAGGTGTGCTGTGCTGCCCTCGGCCGACCTTGGACCTTCGATGGTCCGACGCCTGCCATCGTCAACCGTTCTCCGCCACCAAGATTTTTGCCCGCATCTAACGGCTCTGTTCAACGGGTCCCGTCGCTCCCCGATCTCTGCCAAAATGGAGCCGACTCCCCCGGTAAGTGCGTCTGCGTTTCGGTTTTGCTTTTGTCGTCTACTCTTTCTGTGTTACACGTGCACTCCTCTACTCCTGTCGCGAATTGTCTTCCCTTGCGTAGAAGACAGATTGCAGCAGACTCATTTAACTCAGAGTGAACTCAGTAAACTGTCTTATCGCTAAACCAGAAACTAGAAACTTGACATTAACCTTGTTAGTAATGGACCTTGGTGACGAATATCATTTGTGCTGAAGATTACATGATGCGGAATGTTCCAATTATCACACTTCGTAAGAAATCTGTTTTACCTTAAGAATAATTGGAAGAACAGTTAAGCAACAGTTCAGAATATGACATTTTCTCACATTTACTGAAAATTAAATTCAAACGTCAAAACACACAAGAGTTGCTGAAACTTTCCGTGGACCAGTCTCCGTAGATTATTGTGATTACGATTATTGTGACTTTTTCGCTGATCTGGTATGCATTGCTAATTTAAATCTTCGGTGCAGGAGATATGAGCTGCGCCTACGCATCAAATCGTTGCTATTTAAAGCATTATACACTCCAGATCAAACTAATTAATACAATATGCAAGAATCAAATGATTTTACGGGAATAAGATTTTGTCATTTTCTTGGAACTTTAAGTACAACGTGGGGCTAGGCTTACGGTTTGATGTCTTTTGACTCTGAATCTCAACAACAGTAACTTCAATGATAAGACGCACACGTGCCAGTTTTCACTCATCGTCTTTGTTATGACTGATGTGACGAAGTCGCCGTCATAAATAGGTTCAAACGTCGTCAGTTCTTTTCCTCGTTTGAAATTCTGTATGGCGCTGGAAAATCCACTGGCTGTCAAGAATCCTCATACCCTCAAGGTAAACTCATTCAGCTGCTGAATTGCGACCGCGAACATAAGCGGAAAGAGTGAGGACCACTGACGTATTTGTTTCTAAAACTTCCATCGCAAAGTATCAAGTCGTAATCCTCTGGACAAAAGACGACTCTCGCTGAATAAATAAAACTTTTTCTTTTAACATCCAAAGTTAAACTACGAAAAAGCTTTAACGCTTTGCTTAAAGAAACATTCTAAGTTAGTCAACGAGTTATTCTAGGATTTTGATGTAAAAGTGCCAAAGGTTATTTGTCCTGTTCTCTATTTTAATCATTTTAGTAATATTTGCTTACGACTTTATTGCATGGGAACTTATCTTTCGACTTAATCTGCATTCCAAGTTTGATACAAATATAAACATATAAGGCTAATCGAAAGCTGAAGCTTGGTTTCCAAATATCCGCTGCATGTTTTCACTTAGGAACTTGAATTTGACAAAAATGTCAGATGTTTAATAAATGTTAATCATAAATCTGTCGATCCAACTGATAAATATCAAACGTTTATCAATATTTAGATAAAATTGAAAATTGAATAAAATGTCTGTTCAGAGGAATGACGACATAAATGTAAAAGTTTGGACAATATCATTTAGCCACATTTTTCATCTTTCAACTGTCCAGGTGGAAATTAAAATGTTATTCTTTCTATTTCTTTATGCCATGCATAAACAATTTTTTGAATTTTCTGTTCGTCTGCTTTTTTCTCTCCCCCTAGTCGGTGTCCTACTTGCGACAGAGCTGCGAGGAGCTATTCCACTTCAGTTACTTGTGCCGTTAGTTGAAAGTTCCAGGGTAAATTATAGTTGCTTACGGTTGCCGTAGCGATTTTATGAATACGCATTGCACCGTACTCGCCATGTCATACGACCCCGAACTTTGATCTTTGCAGATCTGCGCAACGGAGACACGGATGCTAAGTTTTGGCTAAGTTAAACATTTGACTGCGTTATGAAATTATAATCTCCATGAAAGCATTTCAGTGTAAAATTTTGAAAATCCACGGAGCATGGTTATTTTATACGTACGCTCATAGAATCCCTTAATTTTGGTGTATATTTATCGAACTTAAACTAAGCCATTAGTAACCGAATTACACTTCTATGCTTCTGTTACATATATCCAAATGCTCAGAAAATAAAACTAATCCGTTTAATGCGTCGAAGCAGAGTTCAACTTCATTAAAAAACTTGTAAATGGAATACTTTAACAAGCAATTGTTGACTAGCTATTTGATTAAGTTTACAGTATTTATTTGGTTGATGCTTTGAAGCATCGTTCTTCTGCATCCAACTGGATTTTCGTTTTTAATGGAAAAATGGCATCGTAAAAAATCATCTCAACACATTGTCACAAAAAATTGTCACCTGCTATCTGTTCGAGAAACCAAGCCAAAGCCGAATTCCTTTTCAAATGGTTTAGCAACTGTAATAGGTCAATATAGCTAGACCATGCGGTTTGCCTCCTGAATTTAGTAGTAAATTGGTTTACGCGGAAGTTTGTGACTATTTCAATGTTTCATTCGAAGGGCGCCATTAGTGATTGACATCCTTTATTCTGACAACTTTAGAACTGATGCTGATTCCAGTAGCCGATGACACCTTATCTGCGAAGCTAATGTAATACTACCCCCTGCTTCCGTCTAGCCTACATTGACTTCCATTCAAAGGATGGAAAATGGGTGATTCATATTTGCAATAAAAAACACATCCTTCGATGTCAGTACAGTGCTGTACCTATTGAATCACTGTGCATTTGCCTAGAACCTGTGCAGCTTCTTCTTAAAATCAACATCTCAAACCGCTACTAAAAAAGTCAGCTGCTTTTTGCAGAACGCACAGTGTTCTTTGGCCAATCTCCTATCAAATTTAGCACATTTCAAACTGTACCGTGAAAAGCACTGTGCCATAAATTTCAGGCACGTAAAAGACATCGTTGGGTACATTTCTGAAATCAGCGCCTTTTTCTATTCTCTTCGAAAGCGCACTTAAAAATGGTCCCGAAGCACACTTCAGTAGCGATCGTATTGAATTTGGTAAGCCATTAAATTCATGTTCGTTTCTTCAAACCCCACAGAATTTCAGAAGAAAATTAATCGAGAATTGTTTTATTAAAGGCAGGTTATAAAAAATTAGACGCATTTTAACTCTTCCTAATGTACATGGGAATGGGCATGTACATTCGATATTAACCGCCATTTTTTTCGCTGTCAACTTTATTCATTGCACTAGCGGTTGTAAATGATCGTTCTACGCTTATCATTCATTCATGAATATTCCAGTTTGTTCTCAGAGCGCACGGTAGGATGAAACTCCCATCACACTTATGCTCCTTTCAGAAATAAATATGAGTAATTGGCTTTTATTTTTTCCTTCTAGGTTTGTACCTACAGTTGTATTAACGACATAACTCAGGAACCGATTATTAGCTGGACGATTTGAAAGCTTTTGGCAATTATATGCAACTGCCAAAGCGCTTAGAAAAACACTTCTCTTTTCACCATGGCATGAGATTTCGTACTTTAGTAAGTTTCTTCCACAGCAACGTTTCACTTTACTCGAATTTATGGGACAGAATTCTACACCATTTATAACCGTTTGCACAGCAGTGTTAGAGGTAGATAAATTGATGCGAAGGATTGTGTATGCTTCTAATGGTAATCTGCTGAGAATATAGGTTATATATAATATGACATCTGAAATCGCTGCATAGTTCATGAAACAGTATTTAAATTTACGTGGTGTCGTAGTGATTCTTTCTGTGCCGATGGCAGCAACGGTTACGAACTGTGATAAAATTATTGGTTTATGCAAATACTGTTTTTTCGCTTGACAAATATGATTAGTTGCAATACGCACTACATTTTTCGACTCAATTAAAAAGGAATTGAGCAAAATATTATGTTCCTGCATTTCAACCCGTTTTTAGGTGAAATAATTCAGTGGTGTCTTCATTTCTACGTAGATTAAAGATTTTGAAGTCATTATTAATTATTTTTTGCCCTGGGTCTTGAATTTAAAATATTTTGTATTTATTGCTTATTTGTAGGTGTTCATGCCTCTTTGGAATGAACATTATATCACATTCAAATATGAAACCATGCTCATCAATGATGGAACGATTTAGATTGTGATCATATGTAAATGATCGTGAACTGTGATCGAAAAGCATTCCTTTATTCGTAGCGTTGTTGTTTATTGTGATCATGATATTGAGTCGTTTTCATAAGCTGAATCTTTCCGGTTTGTGATGTCCTCTGTATTCTTTGTTTCAAACACATTTACTTTACGATATCGGCCACTGCACCATAGAAGGAGCAATTTCCCTATGAATGCAGATTTGTCTCTATCTTATTCGTTCATGTCGACGTTTGCCGTGTTTTGGCTCCCATATTCTCAATCTAGCCTTACCTGTTTAATGGCAGATATTGATGCCCAAAACATGCCCTGAAGTTATGCAAGCAGTTCGTGTCTTTAAAAAACTGCAAATCTGAAAGAAAAAGAAAGTAATGTATTACAATTGAACCAAACTGACGAAAGGTGCTACAGAAACAAGATTGATGCTTGTCGGTTCATCATCATTCTAGTCGTTGGCAAAAATGCTGGTGCAAAACAGTTTTGTCAACTTACAACTCACTTCTAGTTTTATACCAGTTAGCTTCATGCTGTGTTCACTTATTCCGTTAAAAGGTTTAATTGCCATAGTTTTTATCAATGAGTGTTTTACTACAAGTTTTCTATGCCAGTGGTTCTCCATTGCTTGCTTCCACTCGTTCATCACTGTTGGATTTGCTATCGTTGACGTTGATTGACGAGCTGAGGCTCGCCGGGGACAACAAATTGATGCGTTCGCGTGAGGGAATCGAAAAAACGTGAAAAACCTTGGAAATCAAAACGTCTTCTTTGAAAGCTCTTCTATCATGTTGAGTAAGGAAAGAAACTTGGCAGGTTCTCACGTTGTTGCGTGTTTCCGGTGAACTGGATTGCACTGCTTTTTGTCAATATGTGAAACTGTTTTCGCTCACATTTCTACGTGTCAGTTTGGAGATGCAGCAACACTTGGCGCGCGCGTTGTTGTCCCCTCCGTCAGCTGCCATATCTTGCGCAGTTCTGTCGCAGTTCCAATTCATCATCGCCTCACATTCACAGCGGTCACTGTTCTGTTCAGGTCATGTCAATTCGTTCATTTTCTTAACTTCTGATGGTGCAGAAGAGGCCCACTGAACGGGGCCATGTTTACCATTGGTCATTATGGCCAG